TATATTATATGCTTGCCAAAAAAGGAAAAAAGGCTACTTGAATCAGTGTTATTTTAGTATCAGATAACAAAAAAATATTTTTGTTTTAGTTAAGTATAACCCTGACTCACTTGCATTGCATTGTGGAATGCAGAAAGTTTACTTAAAAAAAGAAAAAAGCAGACATTAATATAGCAGCATGCTATTCTGAACACAGCCAGTGATATAGAACAACAGACTCATTAACGCATTTCTCCTAAAGTACCGTCCCTCCCAGCAGCCTTTGCTCAGCTCCCGCCTTTATCTCTGTTGCCACCTGTATATCGTCCAACTTTACTGCACCTTCATACAGAAGGAAAGCAATTAAAAATGCTGGTGAGGATGTAAAGCGAGGCTCTCTGAGCCTGGAGGGAGGGATGCTCTAATTTCAGATTGCGCTGGTCTTTCCTGAGCGAGTCCCCGAGGTGCTGCTCTGTGTGCTGAGATTTGGCTCTGAACGGACTTGAAAATATTGGCTTTCCTGCCATCTATACATATGTTTGTTGATATAACAGCTGCTGAGCAGTACAATATTTATTTATAGACCCCGGAGGCAAATGCTAAACTGACCTCAAACTCAAGTTATGTAGACTTTTATAGTTAAGAAGAAAATCAATATTAAGGGCTTATTAACAGATTGACTAACTAGTTCCCACTGAGAGACCATAAAAAATTAAAGAGTGAAAGTGGTTGGTTCATTTTCTCTGAGTTTGATCCTGCTGCACAAGTGATTCAAAAACTACTGGAAAACTGTGTATTCATGTAAGATGTATGAAAGATATTTCTTTCATGATTAAAGACATTTTATTAATCATAATTATTTTACTTGAATTATTTATAAACTAAAGTTAAAATTAAAAAGCAGAAAATACTCATTTGAAATATAAACTATAATAATATTACAGTCATACTAAAATAACATTGATTTGAGTTGTCAAATGTTTTTTCCAAGCATATAAAATATTATTTTAATTTGTTTTTAATCAATATGTTTAATTGCAATGTACATAAAAAAGGGCCAATTTAAATGTATTTTTTGTTATTTGTAATAAAAGCCTTTGAAAATAAAAAAAAACTTTGACAACAACAATGTGCTAAAATAACTAAAACTAAAATGGAAAATTAATTAAAACTATAAAGACATACGTAAAAAAACTAAAAATCACAGCGACAAAAATACTAAAACTTTAACTAAAATTAAAATAAAAACTGACAATGCAAATTAAATTAATTACATTTTTAACTATTTAATTACTTAATTATTAATTAAACTAATAAAATGTGTGTATATATATATATACACACAGTGGGTATATAAAATAATCTTCCCCCTTTAAAATAATCACATTTTGTTGCTTTGCAGCCTGAAATGAAGACGAACACAG